TGGGGATCGTCTCTGTGCTCCATCACTCTCTGCATAAAGCCCTCTGACACCTAGTGGGTGTTGGGGTCCAAAGCATAATCCTTAACGTGTTGTGTGAGATGCCTCGCAATTCAGATGCCACAGGCTCTGCAGCTTCATTGCTCATCACCTGCAAGAACGTGAAGACAAGAAATTGTACCGTTCAGCTGACGGGCCTTAGAAAATGGAAGTATAAGATTTAGGTCAAATAGAGTAAAGGATTACCAGCCTACAATCCACACTGCCAGAGAAACTAGTAAACAAGGAGGACCCTAAAAGAGATAAACTTTGTCCCCCGGAGAAGGGGAAAGGGTCATGATCCCCTGAGCAAATTGAGAGCATGGGAAGAGGGGGGAGGGAGCTACGAGAATGAGAAGGGAAGAAGAGAAAGGATGCAGAGGTCATGAGGGAGCAGAAAGGTTGAGTCAGGTGACGAATAGAAGAAAGGATATGTGATAGGTAGGGTTTTAGTTGGGGGGATGGGGAGGATGGGAGGGAGAAGGGAACTGGGATTGCCATGTAAATCAATCTTGTTTCTAATTCAAATAAAAACTGATAAAAAAAAAAGATTTAGGTCAAAACTTTGTAGGCTCAAGAGAAGTGTTGTTGGACTCAACAGAAAAAGATCCGGACATTTTAAAAAATATTTACTTATTTTTATTTTATGCGCATGGGTGTGCTGGCTGCATGAGTGTCTGTGTACCATCTCTGGATGCCATGTGTGTTCAGTGCTCACAGAGGCCAGAAGAAGTTGCCAGGTCCCCTTAGAACTGAAGTTATGGACAGTTGGGAGCTGCCGTGTAGGTTTTGGGAATTGAACCGTGGTCCTCTGGAAGAGCTGTTAATGCTCTTAAGCCACTGAGCCATCTCTCCAGCCCACAGATCATGTTTTAGATTGTGAAGCATCATAATCTGAACCACACTGAACTGGGGAAACTTTTTTTTAGATTTTTAAATTTTATTTTATGTGTATGAGCGTTTTGCCTGCGTGTCTGCATGTGCCCTGTGTGCATGGCCTTGAGTCAGAAGAGAGTTCTGGAACTAGAGTTAGACAACTATGAACTTCTGTGTATGTGCTGAGGACAAGATCTGGGCACCTCGCTCTGCAAAAGCAACAAATGATCTAACCGCTGAACCATCTCTGCAGCTCCAAAATGAAGAGATATTAACCAGCGCTATGTGGTGCAGCAATAAAATACAGAGAAACAATAGACTGAGACGTGGGGAGTAATCCCACAGCAAAATAAAAATGCTTGTACCAAGCAGAAGTCTAGGCACGTGAAAAGGGGCAGCAGAAAGCCAAGGCCCAAAGTCAGGAAACTCAGCCAAGAGTGAAGACAGCTTGAGGAGGGAGGAACAAGGGTTACAGGTACAAGATGTGGAGCAATGAACCAGATTTCCACGGATGCCTCACCCCAATTCTGGAAAACAAAACAAAAAAAAAAAAGGCTCCATTTTTAATTGATTTATTGAAAAACAATGAAATTCACTTGGGAGAGCATATGATCAAAATTGTACTTAACAGGAAGAGGGGTTTGAACACAGCCCTGGGGTGGGAGAGTGAGGCTGGCGCTCTATATGAAGAGATGGGAAAAGTGAGGAAACACAGTGCCTGCTAAAAAAAAACTCTACAGCTAACTCTCAGTGTCTCACTCCGGTAGTGTCCAGCGATCATTCCTGGGCAGGGCAGGGTTGATAGCTGGATCGGCTGAGGAACACCATCCAGGTAGTTTATCTAGAAAAGTTGGGGAATGGCATCAAAGGGAACGGAGGAACAAAATCTGAAAGGGTTCTCCTGCTTGAACCTGTTGCTAGAACCCCTGCTGTGATGAACTCGAAGTCAGGAGGGTCCATCCGGACCCCAACCCAGACACCAAGTAGCTGTGTGGCTTTGGACAAGTCATTTTCCCCCTCTGGCCCTCTTTCCTCTGTTATGAAGCAAGCTGGACTCAATGGCAACTTCTCTGGCTTCGGCACTCTGCAATGTCAGGTCTGATGACCTGTGCTGGGCCAGGAAACTGGATTGGCTCCTGAGGAAATGAGCTCCTAGGGATCTGAGCCAGACTGGCATGGCTGCCTTCCTCTGCAGACTGATAGCGCTGCAGTGTGGACAGGCAGAGGGGTGAGGAGCAGCACTAGCGTCTATGAGAGGTCCACTCCCACTGCGGAGTGCTCTCCGCACAGCTGACTTAAAGGGAGCTCTCCACAGAAGCAGATCAACAGCAATGCAGCTGCTCAGGGCACAGCAGTCCCATGGCGTCTAAGGAGACAGGTATAGTGCAGGCAGGAGAGGGCCGAGGGCTTTGGGATGGAATAGGAAGGGTGAGAGGTAAAGCTACCCAGCACCTGGCCACATGTCAAACTACCCATGTCAGATGCCCTCCCCTTAAAGCAGAGCGTGGGCCCCACTTGACCTAATAGAAGCAGCTCTTCCAGTAGAAATGCCACACTGGGCACCAAGGTCCATGATTCCTGTGAGGTGGTCACCGTCACAGCAGGGGTCAGGAATCATCTCCATAACTGGAATCAAATGAGGTAGGCCAACTCAACCCCTTCCCCCATCACCTTCCCTTACACAGACAGGTAGGTGGCTTATGGCTGATCACCTCCACCCAGGGCCATCCTCCTAGTCCTGGAGGCGCATGACGGCTAAAACCCTTTCTTGACAGCTGGGAAGGCAAAGGAAGTTGACTGGAGAACTGCCCCCCCACCCTCTCCGCCCCCCCCCCCCCCCCCCCCGCCCCACCCCCCCCCCACCCTACTCCAGCATGTCTCTGTGCCACTGCAAACTCCAAGGGCAAAGGCTTGCCAAACCCACAGTGTAAGGGGAGGCACTCACGTGACAGCGAGGGGTAGTACCCACTGTACAGTTCAGATCCACACTATTAAATATACTAGGCTTAAGATATTGGGGGGAGGGGTACACACACCAATATACCCCTGCATATGTATGAAGCAACAAAAATGGCACTTGGGGGAAGACTGTGAGCCTGGCCTACTTTAGTGAGCAGACTTCCTACTCCGAAGTGTAAAACAGCCAGAGCCCACATATGCCAACCTTTGGCAAGGTCTCCAAAAACCCTAAGCTGGGCATGCTTCCATAGGGACATTCAGCCCTAGGTCAAGGCAATTCATCAAAGCTTTATGAAGCAACTTCTCCACAAAAGGCACAACTGAGGGCCCCAAAGAGCTGAGAGCATTTCTTAGAGCAGAAGGAGGCTTAGCAGCGGAAACCCAGGACTCCTGGAGTGGGGAGCTCTCCAACTGCTCTAAGTCACAGCTCCAAGTCACTGAGAGACACACTAAGGGACAGAGGTGTGCTACCATTGGCAAAGGCCTTCATTAGACTGCTAGGATAGACACAGCCCAGCTTCTCTGGGGTCGGAAAACCCCACACCCTATAGAGTGATAGGCTCAACCGGTCTCCGATGTAGAAGGGACCCACCCATTTGGCACTGCTGCCGTTCCTGGGGAGAGACAACAAAAGGACCTGGTCACCCACAGTCCACTCCTTCTCCTGCATCTCCCTCTTCAGCCTTCTATTGTCAGCTTTCTCGCTCGCCTTTTCTGCCACCCTCCAGTGGACGTCTAACAGCTCCCGCATCAGCTGCAGCGAGAAAGCATCCATCTTGAGCCCCTCAATGTTTGCAGTGCTCATCTCCCACCACAAGGGCTCCATCAGCCTCATCTCACCCCCAGTCAGGACCTGGTATGGGGTGGCCTCCGTGGTGGAGGCCCTAAAAGCCAGGTGCAGCAAGGGAAGGGAGGCTGCCCACTTCTTGCCGTACAGGAAGATGAACTCCTTTAAGGCCCTCTTGAATTCCCAGTAGGCCTCTGAACTCATCAAACAAGGGAACTGGAGGGCCCTACTCAGCGTGGTCACCTGGGCTCCTAGGGCCAGCCCACAGCTCACCAGGACATGCCGGGCAAACTGGGGGCCTTGGGCTGCCTCCAGCCTCATGGGAACACCCCATCTTGCAAACACATGCTGCAGTAACACCTGGGCCACAGCCATGTGCGTATAGGGTTTCAGAGGGAATGCCTCCACCCACCGGGTGTTGGCATCTGCCACGATGAGCACATACTTATGACCTTCCTCGCTTGCAGTGACTGGACCTACCACCTCGATCTGCAGGCTTGACCAGGGAGCAGTTGACCTGAGAGGCCATGGGGACTCAATAACTTTGAACTCACCCTCTGTGAGATTCTGGGGAATGCAAAACAAACAGCTCCTGCAGTAATCTTTCACATGTTCCTGCATCCCAGGCCACCATCCCAGCAACCTCAACTTCTTATAGGTCTCCTCTGGCCTCTGGTGTCCCCCCAAGGGGATGTCATGCACAGAAAAAATCAGATCCCTCCGAAGTTGCCTTGGGACTACCCAGACCCTGGGATGTTTTTCCCCCTTGAACATAAGCAGGCCACTGTCTTTGTCAAGGCTGAGTGAATTAAAGGCAGAACTGAAAGGGGAGGGCCCAGACAATCTCTGCCCTGCCTGCAGCTTGGCAATGATATCAGCCAAAGTGCTGTCACTCAGCTGTAAGGCCAGCAAGTCGGGCTTCCTGCCTTTAGTATGGGGAGTCACCATTGGCACTGGCACATCCTTTGGCAAATCCCACCACTGCCCGCCTCCTTGGGCACCCTGCTTGGCCAAATTATCCACTGTCACAGCAAATAGAGATCCCCGATAAGAGGTTCTGTAGATAAAGGGAAGGGATGAGAAGCCAGAAGTGAGAGACATAATATAGGAGAGCAAGCTTGGATGAGGTAGGGCAGCCCCGTCAGATGAGAGGAAGCCCCGGGCTTTCCAGAGTGGCAGGAGTTCCCAGAGGACGGTGAAGATCCAGTTACAGTGAGTGAGGAAAACCACTGGGAGACGGGACTGGCCAAAGCGCTCTAGGCCACAGGCCACAGCTGCCAGGTGGGCATAGGTGGGTGTATAAGGGGAACAGGAAAAAGCAAGGGAGACTGGGGGGCTGGTGGGAGACAAGATGTAGAGACCAAAGCCAGCACACAGCTCGTCGTCACGGTAGAAGCAATAGCCAGAAATGTGGATGCAGATAAAAGTAGACAGGTCAGTAGAAGGGGGCAGAAGCTGGAAGACTCGAGGCATGGAGGAAGCAGGTGTCAGCAACTGGTTTTCCCCCAGCAGGCCCCGGAGAAGGGTCAATTCCAAATCCCTCTTGCCTTTGTCCTGCACCAAGAGAGACCATCGAATCAGCCACGCTTTGGAAACCCTATGGCTTTCCCATGTCTCATTGTCCACAGTGGTACGGGAGGCATAGGAGAGACGTAGAACCACTGGGTTGTCTCCAATGTATCGGGAAAAATGCTTGAGGGCCCAAGCCACAGCATAGGGGCTGTCCCCGCCTGACTGAGGGCCCTCACTGTCCTCATCAGGGAGGAGAGGTTTCGAGGTATAGGCAATGGGGTGCTTTCTTCCTGAGTGTTCCTGCTGCAGGATGGCCGTCAGTGACACTTGGCTGACGGTCACTTCCAGGTAGAAGGGCAGATGGGAGTTGGGGGTTGACAGGCAGAGGGCAGACACAAGGGCTCGTTTCAGGGCCAGGAAGGCCTTCTCATGCTCCTGGTTCCACTGCCAGTCTGGCTTCTGCTTGAGGAGGCTGTGCAGGGGGCCCATGAGGACTTCATAGTCCGGAATAACATCCCTGTGGGAATCCATAAAGCCCATAAAAAAAGACAGCGCAGTGAAGTTGCTAGGGATAGTGAGCTGAGCAAGCTGGGCAAGAACCTGTTGACAGGGAGCCTTTCCATCCCAGGGAGCATCCACGTAGGGGGAGGACACTACTGGCAGGAGGTCAATGTCTAAAGCTCCCTCAGAAGGGTCATGAAGGCTGAGACACCAGAGGATTTCCTCAGAAAAGGGAGGGCATTCGGCTCCAAACACTGACACGAGGGAAGAGTCGTGGTCATCTTGCTCATCGGGCTCTGGTGCTCCTGGCCCCTGCATCAGCTCCTCTTCCGGGATCTCCTCCCTCGTCTCCCTGACCTCTTTGACATTCTGTGGAGCCACCAAAGGCTCGGGATCAGCATCGTCACTCAACTCAGAGATGCTGGCCGAGCTGGGAGGAAGGGTCTTCCACACCTTCAAGAAATTGCCAATGTCCATGTCCAACCTATTACCAAAACAAGTAGAAGAAGGAGAGGGGGAAGCCCCAACCCACAGATTATCCATGGGGAAAGCCACATGTATGGTCACCCCACAGAACCCCATGTCATTCCTAAGAGTCCTCATGCATGGGTCAGTCAGGAGCCAGCCCATAAATACTTGCTCTCCAGCTTGCATATTCTACAACTTCAACAAGGATTCGCAGCTTCCACTCTTACCCCAGGATGAACATTCCAGGGGGAGCTCAACACTGGAGGGGAAGCCTAGCACACAATAGAGAAACCCCAGCTTCATTTCCACAAACTGATGAAATCGGGGTTGGTGTGCGGGTGTGTGCGTGTGGAGAGAGGTGGCCTAGGAAGCAATGCCCTGTTCACAAGTCCCAACCAAGTTCCCCTGAAGTTCCCAGAACACTGGGCGAGGGGGGGGGGGAGCAGCAAATGTGGCTCAAAGCACATAGAAACCAGAGGCTCAGAGTTGCTACAAGCTAGTTCTGCCAAAATGACCTTGAAAAGGTCACTTGAGCCTCAGATTCCTTGCCTGTAAAATGAGGAATATGATCATTTACATCTAACTCAAATAGCAAAGGATCAAAGGAGATAATTAACATGACAGCAATATGTACACACAGCTCTCTTGGGCACAATGAAAGAAAAACAAGGCTGCTTGCTGTCACCCAACACCAGCAGCATAAAGCAAAAACGGTCAAATGGCCTTAGGTAGACCATAGAGTCTTCTGCACAGAACAGAATGCTACACGGTACTACATGAACTTATATGGCGTAAGTCCGAAGACAGCAAGAAAAGATTAAGAACGAATGCCAGTTGCGGAAAGGTACATGAAAAGGTGTGTGTGAAGTGTTAAAAGCATAACATAAAGAGTGGAAGAAGCACCAAAATGTGGTGGATACGCTCAAACCACTACACTTACTATTAAGAGCTATATAAATGTTGACTAGTACTAAGAGGCGTTTTGTGGTCAGTCCAGGAATGTCTGGGAGATAGAGATGGCCTGACAAATTACCTGTTTGGCTTCTTCAGAAATTCATCCAAGGTGGGGCCATCACGGCCCAGGGGGTCATCTGGTACCATGAAGAGATTTCCGGCGAAAGTGAAGGGCAGCAGGCTGGACCCACAAGAGAAAGAGGCAAGAACATCGGTGAACCCAACATTCAGCCACACTCTGTTGCCTCCACAGAGGCTGAGATGCCCCATTTACCAGCAAGTACTGGAGAGCCCTACTCTAAGACTCCTTGTCCTGCCCCAACATCTTTTTCTGCCACAAGCTGCTGGACATCAGTGGGGAAAAGGGGCTCAGGTCCCAAGGAATGTCTCACCGATCTCTGACCATCAGTTTCTTGGAATTATTCATTAGGATGTGAATCTGCTCATTGGTGACAATGATTCCATCTGTCTCCTCTGCCAGCTTTACCATGAACCTGCAGGGAAAAGGAAATTACTAACCACATAGTAACCCTCTCACTTTCTGGACCCTCTGGAAAATGAACTAGAGCTCCCCAGTGGGTCAGACAAAAACTCTGCCCTCTGTAATCAAGGCAAGGCTCCAGAGCATATCCTCTCTTCCATGTGGCCATCTGGGATCCCAACATGCCCCAGAAGGTGTACTTGGTTGCATAGACTTCCAAGCGTATATACAAGCTTACATCCCTCTCATACACGCAGGCTCGTGTGACACAGACCCCATCCTTCTATTCACACATGGGTATTTTCTGCTCCCATTTTTTCACCTGTAAAATGTAGATAAAATACTCACCCAGTACTGCTGTAATAATTAAACCAAGGCAATGCGTAAGTGTCTAACTCAGTGCCTAGCACACAGCACACAATATTTTTCATCAAGGCAAAATACTCACATTCATGCCATATATACTAACACATACATACCACATATTACCATGTACATACCAACACATAAAATCACATGGCTTACTAGACAAATCCATCTTCCTGAAGATCTCTTTCCTTCTGAGGAGGGCTGTGACCAGGAAAAAGCCACCTACCTACTTCTCTGCGGTCCCTGGGATTTTCACATGCTGTTCCCCAATTGCCCAGCAGAGGGCCCTTCTACAGAAACGCCATCTTCCCTTAAACCCTTCCTTGCCTGGCTGGATTTAGATGATTTAACAAACTGAGCAAGAGTCAGCTCTGGAAGCTTGGGATGCAGGAGTGGCCCTTCCCAGCTCTTCACAGCCTTGAAGGCTGAGTGGATTGCAGGGAACACAGGAAAGAAACAGAACCTCTCCCTACCTAGCATGCAAGGTGCCCAAGTGAAGGCAAGGACAATGGCAGGGCCTTCCTTCCCTGCCCTAGTACAGGCACAGGTCACAGAGTGCCCTAGGAATACTATTTCTATAGCCATGCTAGACAGTGAGTGCTGAGAGGGCGTCAATGTTTAGGCGAACCAGGTCCATCTAACTCCATTTCTAGACCCTCATCCCAGGATCCACCTACAGTCAGTCACATCCACCTCCTCCCAGCATCTGAGCTTGGTGAAGAAAGATTGAGGACATTCCTTGAGATATGAGCTTTAACCCAAGCTGGCACTGAAAGCCTAGAGTACCTCTGCCACTTCTTTGAAGGAGGAGGCACATTCTGTCCAATGCAGTGAGCCTGGACCCGTAGGCCATAGAGGAGGAATAACTTAGGGAAGCACCAGAGTTCCAAAGCCCTCAGCAACCTTGTGCTTGGGAGGAGCCAACCTTCAGCCATCTCATTTGTGTCCCAACACCTCCTTTCAGACCTGGCATTTGTCTCCATTTCTCCCTGAGAAGAGATGGGACACCACCCGAGACCACCCGGAGCCCCGCAGAGGGACCTGGGGAATGGCACACCTGTAATCGTAGGTGGTGATCTTCTTGCCATTTTCCAGCTGGGATGGAGTGATTGAAAGCATCTTGAGTGAGTGAAGCTGCGTCAGAAAGTGGCTCTCTGAGGGTGACAGAAAAAAGAGACAGTGGAGGGGCTACGCGGGAAAGGCCATGGTGGGTGGTGGAAGCAGGGGGCAGAAAGTCAAGGGGGGAAGAGTCCTGGAGGGGCTGGGCAGCACTGGGCGTCTCACCTCTCACCCTCCGGTTCTTCTTCAGTTGCCAGGTGGGTACAAACACAGTGACCTCTCGGTGTCCTCGATTCCAGAAATACTGCACTGCCATGGCGATGCCTCGGCAAGAGAAGAAGTGCTGGAGGCCATGTCTGTGGGATGGTGGAAGTGAGGGAACCACTCCCAGAAGGCCCTGCATTACCACTCATGCCTTGCCCTGAGGCCCAAGCAGGTCATGTCTCCAGATGACCTCTCCCTACCGCGCCCCTTCCCTCTCTAAGACACGGTCCCTCTATGAAGTCCTAGCTGTCCTAGATGGAGTTTACTATGTATACCAGGCTGGTCTTGAACTCAAAGAAATCTTCCTGCCTCTGCCTCCTGCATGCTGGGATTTACATGTGGATGCGCCACCACACCTGGCCTGCAGCCCCACTGTGCGCACTACTTGCCATGCAGTAGCCATTCACTATGTGCCACATCCCTCACCTTTTGTTACCCACTTAAGGTCAGGAAGGAACACCTGCCCAGCTCCCCAGCACACCCAGCCCACGGCTACTCACACCATGGCCACACTGCTGCCGTCAATGACCACTCTCCGAAGCCCTGGATTCCCAGGCTCCCCAGACAAGTTCAACTCGAAGGGTGTGTTCAAAGCCTCGTGGTACCTCTGGAAGCTGGTCACTGTGTTATTGGCCTGTGGGTGGTGAGATGACGGCCTCTGGGCCCCCTCCCAAGCCCCAAGAAGTCCTTCCCTCAGGAACGGATGCTTATTTCTGGAGGCCAAGGTGCTACTGGCCTGGAGACCCTGCCTGCCAGCCTTCCCCTGGCCCTTCGGCCCGGCAGCTCTACTCTTTGAAGCCTGAACCTCACTCAAGGGTTTGGCTACATCTGAGGTTTGGCCTGCAGCCATAGGCCCCTGGGCTGCAGATGTTGTAGATGCTCTGGAGGCTTTCGAAGTTGCAGGTGCTTTAGTGGTCGAAGGTGTTTTGGGAGTTGCAGACCCCGCTTTAGTGGCATTCCCAGTCTGAACTTTGGGGGTTGGGCCCACAGGTGTTTTTACTGAAGGCATTTTCTGCGCTGTAGGAGTTTTGGGAGTTGTGGATACCACGGGAGCTGCTTGTTGACCCGCAGCTGCTTTGGGGGCTGTGGGTACCACAGGAGCTGCTGGCTTTGATGGAGCTGGAGGCACTTTGGGAGCTGCAGGCTCTGTGCACACTGCAGACCTCTCTATGGCTGGAGGCACTTTGGGAGCTGCAGGCAGCCCTTCCTCGATGGGTGGGTGTTCAACTTTGGACGCTGCTATAGCTGTGGGCATTTCAAGAGTTTCAGACAGTGTTGGAGCCTTGGGTACAGACTGATCTGTCATCTCTGCTTGAGCCACTGGCTTCTCTTGAGCTGTGGGTCCCCTTTGCTCTGTGGGCAGTACTGAAGAGGATAACTTTTCCAGGCCTTTACCATCTGACAATGCACTGCTTTCATCTTTCCGCTCAACTCTAGCTTGGGGTATAGATGTCAAAGATGGCCCTACTTGTGGGGGTCCTGAACTAACCATCTCTTTGATAACACAATCCCCTGGCACCACTGATAAACTAGTGACTTCTGTGGGCATCTCTGGCTTCGGACTATGCTCTAGGGCTGTCTCCCTTCCTGGTTCCCCATCTGGTCTACAAGCCTGGTTTTCTGCACTGGGCAGAGGAGCCAGTTCTTTCGGCTTCCACTCCAGGTTTAAGGGCAAAGGAGTCTGGCCTGGCAGCTTCAGTTGAATGGGGACCCCGGGTCTCTGCCAGAAGGGGAAATTGAAGCAAGCCTGGGATAGGAGCCAGGCCAAGTGAAGAGATTGCAGTTCATTGATCTTCCAGAATGTTGCAGCAATAGTACCTGGCCACAAGGGCCCAAAGGCTGGCCCTGGGGCCCATACACTCAGAGCTGACACCGGTGACTGCAATGACATTCTGTTTTCCATCCTCTGTACCTGCCTTTGCTGCAGGAGCGCTTGTGTATGATTTGCAGAGTCCTGGCTGCTGATGGCTTGCACAATGGCTCCTTCCTCTCGAGCACTGTTCGCATCACCTTGCTTGTTGGAACGGATCCTGGAATAGGCCCAAGTTTGTTGAAAAGGTGAGAAAGGCACTTTGGTCCCAAATTACCATTTCCTTGGGATCATGAGCCTGGATAGGGGTGGAGAAGACCCATTCTCTAGTACTTACTGCACTAGCTGGCACGCTCTCTCCCGCTGAGTGCTCTGGGCTGGCATCAGGGATCCAGCTGCTCCCAAGCCTGTTGATCCCTTTGAATTTTCTGAAGCCTGATTCCAGGTTCCTATCTCTAGGAAGGGTCCAGGGCTCTCTCCTACGGTCACCAGGGATGAGCCTTCCTTCTGCTGCTGGGAAGGGCAGATCAGGACCTCTGGGTTGGAGCAGACACTAGAGATGCCAAAGTGGCCAAGCCAATCAACGATGTCTTCTTTGCCAGCAGCATCCCGCACGAGGCTGAGGAGCAGCTCCTGGACTGCTGGGGGAAGCTGCAGCAGGTCTCTTGCATACTGGTCACCACGGATCCACACCAGGGCCCCAAAAGCCCGGGTCACCTCTGTCTCCCAAATCCCCCGGGGAGTGGTCATAGGGGCAGGGCCCCAGCGCAGCCGTGCCACCAACTCCTCCAGCCAGTTCTGTGTCATGGTGAAAGATTCAGTCAGCCCACCCACCATCAAGGAGCCTGGGGGACCAGGCACCAGGTAAGCCAGAGTACTCCAGCAGAGGCAATCCAGAAATAAGCCTTGTGCCCCGAGGAAGGCGCAGTGCAGGACTGGTGGATAGCGAACCTCCTTCCACAGTTCTGGGCTGCACAGACCCTTCAGATATTCCTGGACAGAAGGGAGAAACAAAGGGAGCCGGCCTGTGAGTGCTAACCCTAGTCTGTCCTCTGCACCTCAAAGGCCACCCCCTTGCTAAGCTTAAGCCCTCCCACAGCTGACACCACCACCTGCTGACCCCCCCTCCCCCTCCACCTCCTCTTTCCAGGGAATGATGACAGAAAGAGTTTGGTGTCAAGAGACCTCACACTAGTTCTAATGGCCTTATGCGGAAGAGTAAGGATTGCAGGAAATGCGTCAGCTTCTCAGGACCCTCAGCCTCTTCACCTGCAGCGTGGCAAGTTAAGCTAGATATGCTTGGGTCCAGGCCCCCTTGGCACTGTAGAACTGTTGGCACCTGGGGGAGGGAGCTACACACTATTAAGTATTCTCATGTGCTGAGAACGTGAGCAGCTTGGGGCAAGTTATTAATTCCCTCCTCTCAACAGTGTCTCCCACCCATTCCTACCCCATCAGTCTCCTGGAAGCTTTGGTGAGCTAAGTGAGCTTAGCTTATTTAGGATGAAGACTGGCACAGCCTGCTCCCATTTTCTCATCTCCTAAGAGCTGGCCCAAGTACACACAACTCAACCGTGTCTGCCCCAGATCACAGCCTATGTCTACCTGACTAAAACCAGAGCTCTCTGCACCTCCTCTGGCTGACAACACAGTGACTTCCAGGTAATCCTTTAGAATTCTGGTTTAATCCCCTTCCAGAAGCTCTCGGGCACAACCTGTACCAGTAACCATGGTAACTGTCATCCAGTGGTGGAGATAAAGTTCCTGGGCCAGTGTCCAGAGGAATGTCCCACAGATCCTCATTTTGTCTAACCAGAATGAAAGCCTCGAGTTCTCTAGCTGACCAGCCCTTGTGTTTGCAGGGAGAGCAAGCAGCTGGCTTCATCTGCCTACCCAGGACCTTCAAAAGCTCCTAAGCAGTCTCTTAAAGCACTGGCCCAAGAGGACTGAATTTGCTGTCATGACATCCATGTCCTTAACAGTCACCCCTCTTCCTGCCTTCCCTGACAGTTCCATTCGGTGACAAATGCCCACTCCCCCCCCCACACACACTTTTTAACACCTCCAGCTGCCATTTGAAGACCACACTAGCACCTTTGCTCACTACATTTTTCCCTGCTTATCTTGTGTTTACCTCCTTCCCAGGTATAACTTCTTTCAACAAAATCTGATGGACACCCCAAACTCTGCCTCCCAAACCTCATCTGGTCCCACTACCAAGCAAGAGAAAATGTGCAGATAACTCTCACCCTCTCACCTTAACAAATGTTTCCCAGCCCATGCACCCCATATCCCAACTACACAAAACCAATATGTAAAGTCAAAGAGGCAAGCTAAAGAAGAAAGTCGTGCATGGTTTCTTTAAATGGGGTTGGGGATATCTGTGGGTAAAATGCTTATTGCACAAACGTGAAACCCTGAGCTCAGATCTTCAGCTCCTTGGGTTATAAAGGATCCTAGAGGCTCACCTGTCTAGTCAGTCAGTGAGTCCCACGTGTAGTGAAAAATGCTAGGTCAAAAGGTAGGAAGGTGGAATGGGCTGGAGAGTTGGCTCAACGGCCAAGGGTGCTTGCTGCTCTTCCAGAGGACCCAAATTCAATTCCAAGCACCCACATCTGACATCTCACAACTGCCTGTAACTCCAGCTCTAGGGGATCTGACACCTTCTTCTAGCCTCTGAGGGCACTGCCACACTCACACTCACACATACACACATACACTCATTCTCTCTCTCTCTCTCTCTCTCTCTCTCTCTCTCTCTCTCTCTCTCTCTCTCACACACACACACACACACTCTCTCACAATACTCTCTCTCTCTCTCTCTCTCTCTCTCTCTCACGCACACACACAGCTTAAAATAGTTACTGTTCCTTCAATAGTTTACCACTCTATGAAAGGTATAGCAATTAGTGTCATTTTTAAAATACTAAATATGAACTAATATTTATGTAGACCTCTTTATGCATCAGGCACATAGATGGTATGATATATTCCTCTCTCAGTCCTATTAAGGAAATCTCCATTATCTTCCTTTTCAATGAGAAAGGAAGGTTACATGTTCAAGCTTACTAACAGGCAGGGATATCCAGCACAGTCACCCCGAAGTCTAGCATCTCATTTACCCATGATGTTATCTACACTGAAAAAGCAAAAACAGCTAAGAAAGCAGTAGACATTTACAGAAAAGCAAAAACAGCTAAGAAAACAGTAGACATTTACAGTCCAGAAAATGATTTGAACAATCTATAGATAAATGACACAGAAAAATAGAAAAAACATCAAAAAAGAGTGATATTATTTGTAAAAATCTATTGCCTAATGTTCCACAGATCCTTTGTCACTTTGAAGTTAAATAAAAACATTAACACCAAATAATATCTTATCAGTCTATGAGTGTCTAGGTACTTATGACTTCACAGGATCCTTCTTTTTTTTTCCCTTGAGAAAGGGTTTCTTGGAGCCTGTCCTGGAACCCACTCTGTAGACCAGGCTGGCCTCAAACTCACAGATCTGCCTGCCCCAGCCTCCCAAGTACTGGGATTAAAGGTGTGCATCACCACCGCCTGGCTCTCCTTTCTTCTTATAAGCCAGTGTTTATTATCTGCTTTCAAGTGCCACCCCAATTTACACGAAAAAAATACTAAAAAGGCCAAGAAAAAGGACAGAACCAGGAAGCTTTGAATTAAAGGAGTGAAGGGAAAGAGGAAAACAGGTTGAGTTCTTACAGAAGGAGATCAATCTGAAAACCTAATACTCCCAACACAGAGACAGACAGACAGACAGACAGACAGACAGACAGACAGACTGACTTCCCTACCTCCAAACGGCTGTCATTACTCTTCTCAGAAACATATTAAACAATATGGCACAAAGTAAATAGGACACCATTTTTAGTATGAAATTTTCTAGTTTTTAGGTTTTTATTTATTTATTTTGGTTTTTCGAGACAGGGTTTCTCTGTGTAGTTTTGGAGCCTATCCTGGAACTCGCAGAGATGCGCCTGCCTCTGCCTCTGCCTCTGTGTGTGACACCAATGCCCGGTTAGTTTCTCGTTTTAGTTTTCATGCTGTTTCATGCAAAAATAGAACACATAACTCTTAGACATTTAAATGTAACCACAGCAATGACACACACACACACACACACACACACACACACACACACACACACACACACACACACAAAAAAAAGAGTAGAAAGATAGTCAGGCAAAAAGCCAGAGTTAGAAGGGTATAGTGATGCACGCCTTCTATCCCAGCATTTACAAGGCAGGCAGCAATCCCACTACTCGGGAGGCAGAGGCAGGCAGATCTCTGTGAGTTTGAGGCCAGCCTGGTCTACAAAGTGAGTTCCAGGACAGCCGGGGATACACAGAGAAACCCTGTCTCGAAAAACCAAAACCAAAAAACCACCAGGGGCCCTTCTTTAAGTGAGCCTGATCCTTTTGATTGTTTGTTTGGGGTTTTTGTTTTGTTTTGGTTTTGGTTTTCACGACAGGGTTTCTTTGTGTAGCTTTGGAAGCTGTCTTGGAACTCACTCTATAGACCAGGCTAGCCTAGAACTCACAGAGATTCGCTTGCCTTTGCCTCTGCCTCCCAAGTGCTGGGATTAAAGGTGTGCGCCACCAATGCCTGCATCTTTCTTGACCCCTCTTCCACTCAGTCCAGAACAAATGACCCACTGTCCCCTCACCATCTCTACCCAAACTTCTAATTTCCACAAGTCCTCTATACCAGTTGACCTATATATGGAAGGACACTGTCAAAATGCAAAAGTCCATCCACACCACATCCATATGAAAAACAAGACATTCCTCACATTAGGAAAAGCTCACATGGCAGCTGTGGTGGTTTGAATAGGTATGGCCCCCATGGACTCGTGTGTTTGAATGTTTGAACCATGGGGAGGGACACTATTAGAAAGTGTGGCCTTATTGAACTAGGCATGATCTTGTTGGAGGAAGCGTGTCACTGTGGAGGCAGGCTCTGAGGTCTCATATGCTCAAGCTAGGCCTAGTGTGGCAGTCCTTTTCCTACTGCCTCCGGATCAAGATGTAGAACTCTCAGTTACCTCTCAAGGGCCATGTCTGCCTCTTACTTTTCAGTCTGTACTGGCCTGTCCTTGGAGTTCTGACAGGATACACCCTCAGCAGCAGACACTAAGAGCACCGCCTGTGCACATTCACTACGTTCCCTTTTAAAGGGCTCTGCACACCTCTCTCTCTCTCTCTCTCTCTCTCTCTCTCTCTCTCTCTCTCTGCCTCTCTCTTCTCTTCTGCTGCTTCTGTCCCCTAAGGCCAGTCTCTCCTCTCCCCTCCCCCTTTTCCCATTCTTTTCCCCAATAAAAAACTCCTCCACCCAAGCTCTGTCGAATGGCCTCTTCCTCATCTCTTTCTCTCATGTGTGCACTGCTTTTTAAATTACAACACTGCCTGCATGCCGCCATGTTTCCCTGTCCCTCTGAATTGTAAGCCAGGCCCTATTAAATATTTTCCTTTATAAGGATACCTCTTCACAGCAATAGAAACCCTAACAAAGACAGCAGGTAACCAAAAGCCTCTCATTTTACATGACACCAACACTGGGATAAAGACATGATGCACCATAAAGCTATTTACTAACAGCAATACCTGACTTCTGCCCCCTTGTTCTTCTCTACACGTTGCCAGAATATCTAAGCATGCATTATTTCAGATGGCCCTCACAACTCTTATGTGAAAAGAGTATTATTACATTGTTTCACAAATGAGGGAAAAGGCTCAAGATAGATAAATTATTAGACCTGGGCCTCTTCGAAGAACCAGCTCCTCTATCTGGGCCATAATGTGGCGACAGCATTTCAAATCCAGATCCTAACCCTTGGGGCAAAACTTTATCCTCCCCACATTCCACATTCTCCTGCCCCCCAATGTCTTCCTTCTGTTCACCACCAGTACAAGGAAGTTACCCAGAATCCCTGCAAGCTCGCTACCTGGGGTGGGGGGATGCCTTTAATCCTAGCACTTAGGAGGCAGAGGCAGGCAGATCTCTGAGTTTGAGGCCACCTTGGTCTACAGAGTAAGTTCTAGGACAGCCAGAGCTACACAGAAGAGAACCTCTCTCACCCACCCACCCCACCCCCCGCAAAAAAAATAAAAAATAAAAAATAAAAGGAATCTCTGCAAGCTGTGTTCCCATTGTCAACACCGCCTCTCTGCAGGGCAATGAGGGATGCAAGGGAAAATTGACAGAGCCACTGGATTTAGCAGGGCTTGGACTGAGAACCTTGGGGTTGAAAACCTATGGCCCAAGGAGGCAGCAGTGCAGGCCGGAGCTGACAAGCTTGAAGAAGCTGACCTGAAGTTTACAGAAGAAACACGAAGTAGGGCGTCCCAAACAGTGCTATTCAGGTGGCTCAGTGGCAAAGGGCCTGTGTGGTACACACAGACTTTGGGTTCAGTCCCCATCACAAGGCAAGGTCTTTGGAAAGGAAGTAGTCGGACAGTTGCTTGGTTCTCCATGAAGGCTGAGCTATGGTACTTTACAATAATGGAAATTTTAAGGGCATAAGGAACCCAAAAGCCTCTTGTTACCCTACCCCACCCTCTGAAACTCACAGGCTCCTGCACATCTGTTTTCTAGACAGACACCTCTCCCCTCCCCCAGCACCTCTGTCTGAACTAGAAAACTGCTGATGCAGCAGCTTGCTGAAAGTGCTAAGGGAGACATTTCCCAGCCTCCCTGTCCTCCTGCTGGCTGTGTTCTGGGCCTCCTCAACCTAGGCCCTTTCTAACAGGGATAAAGCCCCAGCCAAAGACTGAGAGAAGGGAACCTAGGTCATTCCCACCGGAAAAGATAAGGGAATCTGAGGGAGTGGGGGACCCTGGGTGTGATCAAGGCAGAGGGAGGAGCCCAGGCAAAGAAGCTTATGAGAGAAGCCAAGTTGAGCAACAAGCTGGGACCTGGCCTGTTCAATACCCAGCTACACACAGCAGGTCCTTTCATCTCAAAGTCTATGGTCCTCCCAGACTGCCTGGCATCCCAAGGCTGTGCTTTCTAGAACAGATGCATTCCACCCTAAGCCCCTGTGAGTGGTTGCTGAGAACAGCAAGAATATGGGGCAGGGTCCTGGGTTCTAGTCCAACCTCCACCAACCTACTCCTACCTGACTCTGAGGACTCAGGCAGGCCCTCACCCTCTCTGAGCTCCAGTGCCTCTTCTAGAAAATGCCACACTGCTCTAGAAGTGTCTCTAGGGCCCTCCTCCAGTCCTAGTACTCAGAGACACAGCCCAGGATTTAAGCAGACAGAAAGGACAGAGGCCTTCCAGAGTCCTGGTGAGAACAAAGACGTATGTTGCAGAGGCCACAAAAATGCAGGCCCTTAAATTGATCCCAAGATGGAAAGCAGAGTTCTGATCACTGAGGCCTGGCCAAAGAGGGCTCACGGAGAGCCTGCTGCTCGCTGGATCGCTGGATCGATCCGCAGAGGTTCTCCCAGCACACTTGAAAGGACAGACCTGACTCCAGAAAGGCTGAGTGACTTGCAAGAGAGGGGTGGGGCAGAAGAGAAAGAATGAAGCAAAGAGACCGAGCTGGAGCTGCAGATCTGAAGGGAGGGAGGCCCAGTACCTGCCAGCCAAGCAGCAGAACCCAAGATGAATACCTCTGAGGACCACTGAGCCCCCAGGAGTGAGGGAGAAGGGTTGATAGAAGGGCTACGTGGGGAGTGAAGAGAAACTGTTTACCTTGGCTTTACCAGTGTTCTCCCGGGGCCCCTCCAGCTGCAGCCAGAAGTAGGGGTTGTCGGGACGGCTCTGGAAGGCGTTCACCTTGACCCTGAAGATGCGCTGGACTTGCAACCGCTGTCGGTGCACCCGAGGCTTCGATTTTGACTGCACCATGAACCATTCCTGCGCTGGGGGTCTACCCCCAGATAAGAGCATGGCTGCCTCTCCTGCCCCTGGAAAGCGTGAGACAAGTGTCACCGGTC